GACAAGGAGGTGTGGACTCAAACACCAAGAATCCCCCAGCCGACAAAGATGTGTGGACTTCAACACCCAGAATTCCCCAGCCAACAAAGACGTGTGGACTTCAACACCCAGAATTCCCCAGCCAACACTTTAAGATGTGTAGACTTCAACTGGCTGGAAAATTCTGAGTTGAAGTCCACACATCTTAAAGTTGCCAAGGCTGAGAAACACTGTTAGACTGGGTCAGACTGACAGTCAGTGGCTAGGCTCACAACTGTGCTACGTCATGTCTGTTTAATCATGGTTTGTGGAATAAATCAAGTTGGCTAGGTCACGTAACTCACTAAGCCATAAACAAGGATTTATTCAACCCAATGACTAGATTCACAGAGTACACTAAATCTGTGTTTCAAGAATAGAGAACCTGAACATAGATCTTCTCCATGCTGAACCAGCATTCTGTCCACATGACATTTCTGACCAGAAATTCATCTCTCCTGCACTAAAATTGCAAAAATTCTGCAACTTGTTTTTATTGTGCAAAGTCACACACCAGGTGGATCTGAAAGGAAGAACTGAGGGATAGACATCTTACATTTGCTGAGAATATGATACTAGAAGGAAGGGGCTGTTGAAAGCAAGCGGAGGGTGCAAAGAAGCTACTGCTGTCATCACTTCAAGAGGACAGAGAGAAATACACCCCCAAAACCTTCCCCATTGCTAAGGACAGAGCAGTGTTTCTCAACCTCACAGAAGATTGTTTGATGAGAAGTTGAAAAAATATGACATTCTGGTATTCAGGCTGAACAAGCAGCAAGTGTAGATCGGATGCTTGTAGTGGCTCACCTGGAAACTTCTGATCTGCCCCAAAATCTGCGCCTTGAACAGCCCCCTTCTGCCAAAATGGCTACCCTAGCAATGTGTATGTATATCTGTATCTCCCCCCACGCTGTCCACATGAAAAGGCTCTAGATTATTATTCCTGAATGATTTAGGTTAGTAACTGCTTCTGAGGCTTGCAATCCCCAAGAAGCCAGTAAAACAGAGAAGAAAATCCAATATTGATCAAACAGAAGCAGACACCACAAGCCAGAAGTTTCTGTCCTTCGCTGTATCCTATAGGATCCATGTTTCACTTTTCTCCAATTTCTATCATTGTGGGAGTGACGGTTTACTGCAAACCCAAGCAAAGAAGATCTGACTGTGTATTTTTATTTTATTGGTGGAGTGTTGTTGGGAGGGACAGCATGAATGCAACAGGGACTGAGCTAGAAAGTATGGGCTATAAATTATTCAACACCACTCACCAAAATAACTCTCACAGCCACTCATTGACTTTAGTCTATAAAGCCCATGCAGTGTTCTAGCACTGTGGTGTTGGTATCAGCTTGATACCACAGTGCTAGAATGCTTGAAATGTGGAATATCAGCTTCCATTTCTAGATATAGAACCTCAACACATTTTTGGCAGGAGGCTATTTACCTCTATTGTAGGATCGTATTCATCTACAAAATGGTTCTGAATGAGCTGAATCGTCAACGCGCTCTTGCCCACACCACCAGCACCAACGACTACGAGCTTGTATTCCGTCATCTTCTGAAGGCCTAGGGAAGATCCAATAAAAATACCAAAATAAATGCAACATATAAAAAATTACAAAAAATAAGTCCAGTATTAAACCACTCCGTCTCTACCTAGCTGTATGAATCCAGGGGAGTAAAGTGTCGACAAAGGATGGAGATATATAACCAAGTCCTTAGACCACCTGAAGTATCTCCCTTGTTATCAGAATAAAAAGAATAATCAGACAAAATAGTTAGTAACATCTAGCTTCCAATCATACAAAGCTTCTACAGAACAGGCCCCATTCCCTGCAAATTCTCAGTCTGATTTCTAGGTCTTGCACAGGTGACAACACCCACGTTGAATTACAGATATGAATAGCAATGCCCAGAATGGAGATGCTATGGCCCATTTGTGGTGGTGCTGCACTAAAACCAGCTGGCAGAAATGAAAATTCAAAGGCTTTCCAACAGCGAGATTCCAGGTAGCCAAAATAACTGATAAACCCCTCCCCAAAAATATTGTTTTGGACAACAGCTGTTCCTCTTAATGAGTACACAGCCCTGGGTCCAGTGGCCCAAAAGTTCTACACCTGGTAGTCTCCCATTTTTGCAAATCTAAAACCCATATCAATTGAACAGCCACTTTGGTGTAGTGCTTAAGGCACCAGGCTAGGAACTGGGAGACTGTGAGTTCTAGTCCTGCCTTAGGCATGAAGCCAGCTGAGGGACCTTGGGCCAGTCCCTCTCTCTCAGCCCTAAGAAGGAGGCAAGGGCAAACCACTTCCAAAAAACCTTACCAAGAAAACTGCAGGGACTAGTCTAGGCAGTCGCAAGGAGTCAAAGACCAACTAAAGGCACACACACAAAACCCAAACAGTTTGCTCGATTAACAAGTTACAGATTTCTTAGTAAGTTGTAATCAGGTACCTCAAGAAATGGTAAAAGCTGCGTTCAGCATCTGTAAAGCAAGAGGGTGCTGTTTTTTGACCCAGGGCCCTTTCTGCCTTCGTGCAAAAAAATCCACAAGTCTCTGAGAACAACACGGGCAAGCCGGGGGGGGGGGGCTGATTTGGTTTTATTTAAATTTAATTTAAAAGTATCGGAGTTTCTTTTTCCTGGTTTTTTGC